TGCTACCATAAAGTGCCTGTGCTTTCAGGTAAAACGAATCCAATTGATTGTTGTAAAGCTTTTATTACTTTCTTTTTTTCATGATCTGGTAGGTATTATCATAAACATAATATGAAATGTTTGATTACATTTCATGAAAAACATTTCGGAAAAAAAAATTATTTCACTCAACTTTTTTTAATATTTAGGTTCGTTATTGAAATAAAAAATAATTGTACCACTGGATTCACTGGATGTTTTATATAGTAATCGATACTTATCTCGTTTACCATAAAAATCGATTAGGGTTCACTTCGGAATTAAACGACTCCAACGTATCAGATATATAGATAGGTCAAAGAACAGTATGCTATATATAGCGTATTGGAAAACATACTATATGCATTAATATCCAAACATGTTAAAAGGTTATTCTTGTCAGTCTCTAATGAAAGTTGTACTCTTTACCTAAAATGTGTGGAATTAATACTATAAAAAACATCACTTTTATTGGAATAAAGTCGGTTTTATGGAGGGCGAGACCACCCAGCTGGTATGTTATAGGTCGGATTTTAATTCTCTATCAGATGTATCGACATCGAATGCAGAGCAGAATCGATAAGAGCGAGCGGATAATGGAGGCGGTGTAGGTCATTAACGTAAATTAGTTGTGCGAAATAAATCGGGGTCCAACGATTATGTTATATCGTGCGGGTCATCTCCCTCATTGAGCTCCACAATATATCGATTCCATATCTCGATTCGGCGGCACAGTTGTCTAGAGCACGTGACAATAGCCTCCATTCCGCATTATCGATTCTTAATTATTTCTATTCAGATTCGATCCTGGTTGAAATCTTTCTTGAGCTACAAGACTAAGATAACAACCTACCTACCTCATGGCGCTACGGCCCTATAAGGGTCTGGACCTCCTTGACTATTTTTCGCCATTACTCTCTATTCAGTGACTTTCTTCGCCATTGTTTTATTCCTAGGCTACAAAATATCTGTTCCAGTTCATCTAGTGATCTTTTCCGAGGACGTCTCCTGCTTCTGCGACCTTCAGTTTATCCTCCTAATTTTTTTGTGATTCTGTCCGCCGGCATTTTCCCAATGTACCCCAGTCACCTAAACTGACTCCTTCTTACGAAGAACACCAGATTCGGCTCGCAGTACATTTGTAAGAGTTCCGCATTTTTTCTTATTATTCATCTTCTATTATCACAAATAGTTCCAAAAATTCTCCTGAGTACTTTCTTTCCTCATATATTCAGAATTTTTTCACACCTTTCGCATCCATAGGTCACAACTGGTCTATTGATTGTTATGTATATAAGTACCTTCTATCTGTTCGTCAGACCCCTAAACTTTAATGGTTCCTGAAGAGCAATGTAACACCTGTTACCGACATGAATCCTCGCTTTAATTCTTCCAAAATTTCATCATGCTCGGTAATGAAAGACCCCAAATATTTAAATTACCCTACAGCCCGGAACGTATTGCTGCCTAAATTTAGTAGCTCGTAGGTATTATTCTTATTTTTGGACGTTTGCATGTATACTGTCTTGTGGTCATTTATTACCATGCCCAGCTTAACTCAAACTTCTGAAACACCCCCGCAGGTACTGCTCTAGTAATAGCTGATATCACAACATCATCGGCGTAGCTAAGATAGGAAACATAAAAATATATATATTAAATACCTAATACTTTAAATAAATATTTGGTTCATTTAGAAGAAAAGTACAAAAAAATTTTTTTGTCATTTTTTTTTAATGATTTTCTCAAAATAGTAATTCTAGTGATACCCCGATCAGAATCCCCTGGGTCAATGTAAATATTGTACATACATATGAATGTGTTTTATTTATTTTATTATCATATTTATTTCTGTCATTTTATTTATCTTGTGTATTACTTTATCTTTTTATTTATCTATATATATTTTTTTTCTTCTTTGGATTTTTATATTTATTTTTCTTTCTTATGTACATATTTTGTGAGTGAATCGTATAGCTCTAGTACAAATTTTCTTCAGTGTGACAGACTGTATTGATACTCAATAAAATAAAAAAAAAAAATAATAATAATAAAATCTCCATAAGTATAAATATTTATAAATTACGATTTCTTTTAATTTTCATATGATTCTAATTCAGTGTAAAATTAATTGTATATGTTTCGTAATATATTTTTGAATGGTAAAAATTAAAATGACGTGAATGAATAATTACGTCAATATAATATAATTTCATAAAATTTGTAAAATAATTACATTAATTACATATTAACAGAAGAAAAGGACATGACAAATATAATTATTTCCTAAATTTGCATTTACTTTTTTTGTATTTTGCAACAGAAATAAATTAATGTTGATTATTCCAATTGATGTAAAATTAATAACCGATCAGATATAGCGAAACATGAACTGTGTAAAATTGCGAGTCATTTTTTTATCCTTCAACAACAGACTGGGAACTGCGACGACAACAGCTGCCACTAAACGAACAAAAACAGAGCGGCAGAGATTCTCAACAAAAAATGCTCCATAAATTGTTTCGACAACTCAGCCACCATATGCTCGTATCCTTAATGTTTTTATTTTGTGTTTTTCAGCGAGTTCGTAATCGTTGTGCCGATAGTCAATTTTGATGTTCACACCAATAAAATAAAGCATCCTAATTTATATAATAATATTAATATAATAATATAATTAATAATAAAATATAAATTTAAAATAATCATGATTTTTTTTTCGTTTAAATAAATAAATTAGCTTCAAATAAAACTAATCAACAAAATATGTAAACATAAAATAAATACCAATCAATGCTGATAAAAATATTGAATACAAACCGTTGCAAAGATTGTAGTGAAACAATTAAATGTGATGATTTTTACTTCAAAACTTTATCATTTTAACATCCTTGTTTCATTACTTCATAATCTTGAACTTCATTCATTATTTCTGAAATTACACTATTCAATTAATGACTCCTTCAAAACCTTTTTATTTGTAACAAAATAGCATAAGTATATAGTTTCCTCATTTAACAGGAGTATGAAAGGCTTTTACTGAGTGTATAGAAACCATACCTGGATTTTAATTTTTTTTATTTATTAAAATTATCGAAAAGTATATTATTTGCCTTTATTATATACATTATACATTTATTATCTTTATCAAAGTATGTTGATTATCCGAATATCTTACAGAATTACGCCGGTCACAATAACGTTTCAAAAAAATTATACTTGGTCTTTGATGACCGCTTCGAAATCATTAAAAGAAACTTTATCCCGTCCAAATTCTTTTTGGCAGGGTTTCAGGGTTAAGTGGCAAAACTGAAAATATGAGCTAAGGATTTCTAAACAAGAAAAAAATTTCCTCTGAAGATATGTCCGCAAAAGCTTTGTTTAGGAGATATTCACACCTAAAGATTTTCGTTGTTATTAATTATTTACGTTATATGAAATAAATAAAACTATTACAACTATCTAATTGTCAATAATATAATGTGAGTGAAATGTGGAAGGCACTGATCAAATGGAATGGGTTATGATAATATTTTTATGGGGTTATGAAATGTTAGGCTTTATTAAAAGATTTAATTTATACTGTATTGTTTCGTAGATTCCAAACGTTACTTCGATTTCGTGTAATTTTCAATAAATTTAAATTAATTTTTACTCTGATTTTGTAAAAAAGAAAAATCTTATTTGTGATTATGTTTATTTCTATTGAAGTTCAACCAGCTCGTCGTGTTATCGAGTTTATGTGTGATTTTTACATATATTTTTATATTCTAGCTTAAATAGTTTTGTTTGGCTGAAAAAAAGTATTGATCTCGTTAACTTTGAAAAAACAAAAAGTTTATTTTTTCTTATTTCTCTGATAAAGTTTTTGTAACATCGATGTTAAGAGTGAAAACATGTCGATTAAGTACATATTACTACTGCATTTTCCTACGATGAAAAATAATAGAGGGCAATTAATGATGAAATTATACTAATAAATCATAACGAAACAACTTTTATGTTTTCCTGTAAAACACTCAATGTTTACATACGACTTTTTGCACTAACAGTAGTGATATTCATGTTCAGTTCGCACTCCAATTTTTTTTTAATCCCGGATCTTCAAATATGCAATCTGCATATGAGGAACTTTTTCGCATTTTAGTATTCGCTGATGAACAAAACTTGTGGATATCATACCAGTATATGTTGAGCGATAACTGAATCTCCGAAAAAGTCTTCTTCCAGAGATTTTATTCTGTTATGAAAAAATTTAGATCTTGTAATATAGATGTATTTTAGACAATGCAAACAGCCTTCCTTGGCAGATTTTTTTTTTTATATGTGATATTACAGACCTTGTTATATCATATTAATGCATATTACAGATCTTTTACCGTCTTAACCAGCCTTTTTCATATTTACCTATCTTAAGTTATTTCTTTTAAGTTGACTAAATGCAGCTCCATCGCATCTTTGTTATTTCGATCTATCCATCTGGTTTTTAGCCTTCTACGTGGTCGTTTGCCTTCTATTCATAGGCATTCATTTTTACTTAGATTGCTCTAAGCTACATACCACGCCCATCTTAACCTCATTGCCTTTAGAGCATGAAATTATGATTGACCAGTTTCTGTAACCAGCTCTGCGTTGGTCTGATTCCTCCACTCTTTATTATTCTGATCTCACATCGCTCCGAATTTCGTCCAGAAAATATTTATCTCAAATCTTTCTTTAGTTCTTTTCAGAGTGTTAGTTAATGTCTGTCACCATAAAGATATGGCTTTATTCTAACATTCTATACCCTTACTTTGAGACACGGGCGGATCTACGGGGGGGGGAGAGGCTTTCGGGCTGAAGCCCCCCCAAAATGGAAAAATATAACCATGTTTTATGATAATTTTTTTTTTTTTAAATACCTCTTAAAGTATTATTGTTCGTGTAATTACATTTATAAGTACTTAAGGGATAACTCAAACACCATTTCATGTAGGTAGTTAGTTTATTTCTGTTTTTCCAAAGTAATTATCGTTATTTTTATGAAAAAAAAGGTTTCGGGCTGAAGCCCCCCCCCCCCAAAATTAAATCCTGGATCCGCTAGTGCTTTGAGATTTTTCGGAATTTCAATACCATTACCTTGTTTATTTCTGACAACAGTCCATACATTGAGGTTATTGTGGAATTTGACTATTTTCGAAACAATTTTCCTTCAAAGTAGATTCTGTTATTGGGGAGGAATTTTCAGTTTATTATTTTATTTTTTGTTTATCTTCATTTACTATTTATTGAGCGTTTACAATTCGTTTTGCTCTTCTTTGCGGATAGTCTTTTACCCCTTACATAATAGCGTAACATTAAACTCCTCTCACTAGAACCCGCAGTAATAGCTCGCCATTACAATAGCTTACATAAGGATCGCTGAAGGACTGAGGATGTATCCCTGAGGTAATCCTGCCCCCAAGCAGACCGCTAGGGCGGCATTCCTCCGCGGCACTGTAGATCGAACAATTAGTCATGCGCGTGTCCGAGCTGATTGCGTTTGTGCCCATCAACTGGAGCGGTTCTTCTGGATGGGCGAACCTCATCGTCGTAGCAAACGGCTCTGGAAAAAAAAAGGTTCTCTTGTAAAACTACATTATTATAAATGAATAAAAATTAATTAATTATACATAAATTAAATTTTCAAGAAAACCAAAAAATTAATCTTGTGCGCGCAACACACAACTTTCACTTAATAGAAATTAATTTTCTGGCCATGTTGGGCTATTATAAAATGTCTGAATTTCATTTTTAACCGAGCTAAATCTAAAAGCTTACAGCTAACAAATCATAAATACCATTAAAATAACAAAAGGCCTATTTATTATATCACAGGTTGATCATGGATTGTACGATGCCTTGAATATAGATTGTGCGACTACTACCTTAAATATGAAATTTCACTTTCGTACGACTTTTCGTTTTTGAGCTAGACTACTAACACACGCAGACCATTTTGCGGGACTTGTTTGTTTGGACTCGAAACATACATTTTCGTTGAAAACTCAGATTCGAAAACTTTCACGATCGCAATACTTACCCTTACTATGTATTTCATATATAGGTAAGTGAAAGTAAAAACAATAAGGTATATATATAAGATAAATACGAAATATATCAGATATATAATTATATCTTATATTAATGAAAATATATTACACGTTTGCGCCGTATCGACTTTCATCAGTGGCGCGGTTACGTTTTCTGTCCGTTGTAGAAAATCTAAAACACTGCCCCATAATGTTAAATTATTGAAAATCACATATGCCTTTATAACCAAATTCCAAGTATTGGGAGACTGATTTTGAAGAAATCTGTAGATTTTGAGTGGAATAAGTGAACTACATTAAATATGTTGTTACTGCGTGGACCTAGAATTTGATGTTTTACAACTATTTCTCAATGCGTTTTTCGTCCTAGAGAACTCATTTCCAACCTACATCTATATCCATTTATAGTAATTTGTCTCATTTTATAAAAAAAAAAAAATCCTAAATATATGCATTTATTGGCCGTGGTTTTTGACCACAGTACTTAACTAAATTATTAAGGTACTCGTTCGAGCACAATTGGACGTTCTATAATTTCTTAAAAAATATGTTTTTCGCTTGAATACATCGTTTAAGAGTTATAGGAAAAAATCGTAAAAACTTATTCCTTGGTGGTTAGAGATAGCGATTTTGTTATTTACATGTTTTAACGGATTTATGCCAGTTAAAATAATAAAAGCTTTCTCTACATTTTTCTCAGTATATTTCCGGTTTCAATCCTTTAAGTTACTGGCCAAATAATCTTTGAATCATCCACCATTTTGTCAAGCAGTGGCTCTGGATTGGCAGACAAGTTCCATTTCACTTATTATTAGAATAATATACACTTACGCAATTTTCATTCAAATCTTCACCTGCGATGAGGTCACTTTAAGAGCATTGGCTTCAAGGCTATTATATTCTAATTCCAGATCTCTAAGGTTATCGCAAGGAGTATTTTTCATTCAAGGGTGCTGTTTAGTCATGTATCAGAATAGTCTATATCATTGCATTTTACACCCTTAATTTAAGATTTCTTAAGACTTTTCAATATCTTTGAAGGAGAAACGGCTTATTTAAATATTTTTATAGGCCTTAAATTCTGCTACCACCTGTTTAAATATTTATCATAATCAATGAAGAGAAGAATAGTTGGGGTGATCAGTCAAATAAGAAGGCAAAAATAAATGATAATATTTATCTTGACATTTGCAGACGTTTCGACCTGAAGTTCAGGCCTTCATCAGGGGTGACTCCAAAGGTGTAAATCGGAGCAACGATGCTCCGATGATTGCTCCGATGATTGGATTTGACTGATCACCCCAACCATTCTTCTCTTCATTATTCACGACAGTCAACCATTTACCCACAATTATTTATCATAATCAAGGAGACACCTTGCCAAAGTTATGAGTGAATAAACTGAATATTCTATATACCCTCAGAGACAAATGATATTAATAACCTTGCAACCATCGGGTACAAACCGCACACGGGTACAAGTGCAGGTAATAATTATTATAAGAAACAGAACACATTGAGGTGCACTGCAATGCTACCTGCATTTCTGTGGTCAGTGCTGCAATGTCATTACATCTATCATTGAAGCACTACTCAATAATTGAAATATGTATCTGCTTATTTATATTTATGTCCTTTTTGTAAAATAATAATTATTCAAATATAACATTTCATGTATTATTATACAGGGTACCACGCAAGTAAACGACAATATTTAAGGCGTAAGAATGGACACCAAAGCCTACAAAAAGTAAATTAACAATGGACCGAATTTTAACAGAAATGTAGAATATTTAAGTTTTATGTTTTTTGTCGAATAGGAAGCGATAGCTACCAAAATATTTAGTTGAGGCAATCAACAGCTTCTTCATAGCAAACTAAACAAAATTTATTTTAAACTCAAGCGTATTCTTTCTAAAAATTTTAAATCTTTAGTTATCTATAAAAAATAAATAAAGATATTTTAAACTATGTTTGATAATTATCATCATTTGGAATTGCTAGAAATTGAAAAACAAAAATCTATGTTTAGCATGTAAGGATGTAAAACATAATAAAGAGCGACATAATTTTAATATCTTTTTGTATTTGTAGATAATTATATCTAATTTTATATTATAAACCCAATATATATTGTGCACGGAATTGTCATAATTTACATGAATTGTTTTAAGTTTTTTATTATAGTAAAAGTAATGTTATTATGGTTTATAACTTTTTTAAATATTAATTTTTATTGGAATTGGAGTGATATTTATTTGAATTACAACGCATCAGACATTTTTAATATATATTTTTTTCATGTTGATTATTATTAAAACTGTAATGATTGGTTAAATGACTGTCTATAAAAGCCATTAGCTTATTAAATTAGGACACATGGGTTGGAATGACAGCATACTCTACTAAAACAAATATGTGATTTCTCAACAATTTTTATTGAGGAATGTTTGAATATTACAAAAAATAAAAATAAAAACCTATTGAAAGAGATAGAGAAAGAGCGTTAAAATTGGCATGAGTATTTAAAAGGAATGTCGAATCAAGGAATCAAAGGAACTGTACGATGAAAAATGTTAGAGTGAGATAGATCAAAAAATGTTTGTGATAATAAAAGAGTATTCTGTACTCTTATAAATAATTTTTTTTTTTGAAATTATATATGAGCCAGACAAATAGATCACCCACAACTTTGAAGTATGAGTTTGGTTAGGATATACATTTATTGTTTAAAAAACAAATCCCTCTTCCCTAGTCTAAAGTATTTATACCAACATATAATAAAAGAACAGATTTCTATTAACAATCCTGCCCCAATACCCTAACCCAGAAGAGCCCATCTCATTTAATAACTAGAATTATTTTATTGTATTTTTTTTTATTTAGAAATATAGAAATCTGTCAGACTAAAAATATTATTTTTTTTTATTGTTTGTGAAATTTATAAGTGTAAAATAAATATACATTCAGCAAATGTAATACAGAGCAATACAGAGCATGACATGGTTTGTAGAGAACCTACCCATTGGTAACATTCTAATTAAGTATCTAAATTAGAAGATCAGGAGGCCATCTTCTTTTCAGACTCCTAGGAGGCTTATCTGGGATCCAGAACGAAGCAAGGTTAGAAACGAGAGGATTAGGATAGTTCTGAAGTTTATTATGGAAGTACAGATATCTGGTTTGGGCCAAATCGGAAACATATGGAACATTCAGGTCATTATGGATTATTATTTTATTTGTTACAAAGTAAGGAGCACTAATGATTTTACGAAGAATTTTGAATTGTAAAGTTTGGATTAGGGGAATTTGATGGTTTAGTGGAGCCCTTAAGCTCAACTCCGTAAGTCGAAATAGGTCTTATGTTCATGTATTTGAGTCATTTGTAATTAATTTAAATGTTACAGCTTTTATCTAGTAAGTGCTGAAGTAGTCAGAAACGTCGAGCGGGTTCGTGTCGTTTCAGTCTGGTATGAGGATTCCAAGATAGACGTTTGGCCAGGTGGAGTCCTAGGATACTGCAGGACAAGAAGTCATAGGGTAAATGTAATTTGTTGGGATTTATTAGAATTTATTTCAATTCTCCAGTTTCGACACATCAAGGTTTGTGATGTGTGATTGAAGGGTTTGGGATGTAATTGATGGGTTGTTATGAACTGGTAGGACACATTTGTCATCGGCATAGGTTGTAATATCTGTGTTTCGATGGGTTGGAATATCAGCTGTATAGACAGTGTAAAGAATAGGGCCTAGGATACTATCTTGAGGAATACCAGCAGACTGAGGAAAGAGGAATAAATAGGCATTGTTGTGATTTACTTTGAAGTATCTATTAGTAAGGTAGTGCACAATAATTATAGTGAGATATGAACACATTCACGCCATATATATAGAAAACATTTTTAAAAAAATAATAAGTAAAAAGTATATTTTATCATCAAATAGAATCATGAAAATTGTAGTTTATATAAGAACATTGATTCGAAAATTCCACTAAATTGAAAACCTTCAAAAACATAATTCCTTCAAAAATTCTTAGCTTCTCCAAGGAAGGCAGTGGATCAGCTGATGAGAAGGTTGTCTCCTCAACTCCTCTCTCAGTTTTTACCAATTTTATAGCGGAATCTCTCTGATTATTCACGTGATACAGTTAAAGTGTATATCAGAGCAGTCGATATTTACTGTTGACATCTTTATTTTTTTGTTATTTTAAGAAAAAAAAAAATTTTTTTTTTTTTTTTTTTTATTTATTTCTTTATTTTTCTCTTATGATATGCGGTATGATCAGCAAGTGATGGCCAGTAAGGTGCCCAAGAGGTCTCGGTCAGACGGAGTTAGCTCACCAGCCAAACAAAGGACTCGTCGCTGCCTACGAGAAATACCTCCAGTGACCAAAATGAACACTTCAGAACCAGAACCTCAGCCCCAACCAGGTACGTCTGCACAAGAAACGATTGAAGAATCACCTTTCTTTACTCCAAACCCCTACCAAGTGCTTCAAAATGACAGAGAAGTAATGGAGTCTGCAGCAATACCCAGAGAACCAAAGCCTCCTCCGATATTTGTGAAAAATATAAAAAATTTCCAGATGTTCTGCACCCAACTAAATAAAATCTGCTCTGGCAGTTATTCATGTCTTAACAGGACCAATGACACCAAAATAACACCTGATTCTGCAGAAGCCTACCGAAAAATAGTGAAGTACTTATCAGAAACAAATGCGAATTTTCACACTTACCAGCTGAGGCAGGAAAGAGCTTTACGAGTAGTGATAAGAAATTTACATTCCTCAACCCCCACTGAAGTTATTAAAGAAGAACTAACGACGCTTGGTTTCAATGTACGCCAGGTAACAAACGTTTTGAAGGAGGACAGGGAGCAGCCAGGATTACGAAATAGGATCCCACTACCATTGTTTTTCGTGGACTTGGAGCCATCACCAGGTATCGAAAAAATATATGATATCACAAGAATATACTACACAATGGTGAAAGTTGAGAAGCCATATCCCAAGAGAGACATCGACATCCTACCGACCGCTGCTCCTATAATTACTACTGCAAACAATTAAAACTGGAATTAGCCACCTTCAGATCACAATCCTTCAACTCCTACCTATCCTCCCTCTCTTCTCGCGACAATTCCCTTTGGAAAACCACAACAAAAATCCTAAATCCTCACCGCATTTACCATCCTCTCCGACGAGGTGATGGCTCCTGGGCAGCATCTGACGAAGATAAAGCTGAGGAGTTCGCCATTCACCTATCCAATACATTTATTTCACATCCGGAATCCCATCCTGCCCACACCGTAACAGTAGAAGAACTCCTTACATCACCAATTCCACTTTCTTTGCCCCCAAAAGCTATTCATCCTTCCGAAGTAAAATTTCAATTAAAAAAACTAATCCTCCGTAAAGCTCCTGGACATGATCTCCTTACACCTCAAATCCTTCGACAACTTCCATCCAAAGCAGTCATATTCCTTACATATATCTACAATTGTACCCTACGCACCACCCACTTCCCTCTGTTATGGAAACACTCCACTATTATCCTTTTCCCAAAACCAGGAAAACCTCTCAATAGCTCAACATCCTATAGACCAATCAGCCTACTCCCAATCCTTTCAAAAATTTTTGAAAAGATCCTTTTGAAACGAATCCTACCCATTATAGAATCCCAAAATATCCCTTCCCATCAGTTTGGTTTTCGCTCTCAACATTCTACTGTTCAACAAGGACTCCGAGTTGTTGATCATATTTCCTCAGCCCTAGAAAACAAGGAATACTGTTCGGGTGCCTTTCTGGACATTGCACAGGCATTTGACCGGGTATGGCACTCCGGACTGCTCTCCAAGCTTAAAATCCATTTACCTCAGTCCTTGTACCTAGTCCTCCGATCCTACCTCTCTGACCGCTCCTTTCGAGTTCGCTGTGGAACAGAATTTTCCAATATCTACTCCGTTAAAGCCGGTGTTCCCCAAGGCAGCGTCTTGGGTCCCGTGCTTTACATCCTCTTTACTGCTGACATCCCTGTTCATCCCGATACTTTTCTTGCAACATTCGCTGACGACACCGCAATCTTATCATCCAACTCTAATCCCGAAATAGCATCCTTAAATCTCCAAAGTCACCTCACCTTGATTGAGCACTGGTGTAATAACTGGCGCATTAAAGTTAATGAATCTAAATGCCAACATATTACCTTTACACTCCGACGCAATTCCTGTCCACCAGTACTCTTTAATTCCATCCAGCTTCCTTATTCAGACACAGTCCGGTATCTTGGCTTTCATTTAGACCGAAGACTAACTTGGAACCCGCATACTAGACTCAAAAGACAAGAACTCAACCGACGATACGGCCAACTATACCGACTACTAAGCAGAAAACCTAAACTTTCCATTGAAAACAAGCTACTGATCTACAAGACAATACTGAAACCTATTTGGACTTACGGACTAGAACTGTGGGGATCAGCAAAATTTTCTAACATCAAGCGCATCCAATCATTCCAGTCTAAAGTCCTTCGAACAATAGTCGATGCTCCTTTCTATGTATCCAACAAAACCCTACATCATGACCTTAACATCCCATTTGTCCTAGACCTTATCCCAGAAAAATTCTCCAAATTTCACCAGAACCTTACTTACCACCCAAATCCTCTTGCACAATCCCTATCAAGCATCTCCCATCCCTATAATCCTCTAGAGAGGTTGAAACGGCAGTGGCCTCGCGACCTTTTGTAGATTATATAAATTGGAGTTCTGGCAATGGCCTGATTCTTCACTCAAGACATGTGTGTATGTGGCTAAAGTGCTCTCGACCAATCTCCGCTGGCTTTAGTACCAGTGACGCGGTTGGGAGAGTAGCGCAGGGTTCTCCTGGAGTTCCCTCGCCTGATTGTATATAGGTATGCATGTGTTTTTTTTTTTTTTCCTTAGTTTTAATTTTCTTATTTTTTAGGTTATTTTATTTTATTGTCTATTGTATATACTTTTGATTATTATTTTGTTCTATTTATTTTATTTTTTTTTGTACATATGGTGTGAATGTCATCCTACCTCACTATAACCAATGTCAAACAGACAGATTGTTATAATACTCAATAAAGAAATTAAAAAAAAAAAAAAAAAAAAAAAAAAAAAGCTTCTCCAAAATATTCACAACACAAAAAATTGTTGGCATAGCAAACGCATTATCGCCGTTTTCTGTGAATCGCTCATTTAACCTCAAAATATATATTTCGTTTGGTTTAGGTAAATTATAATATTTTTGACATTGGCACTTTTTGCGTTATGGCCTAGAAATATCTAACGTACAAATGATTCTCGAATAAACTGTTGAAATATCTAAATTCATTTCTATAAATCTTTATTATTGGTATCTCCAAAATTTTAAACAATGAATATGACTGAAAATTTTTTGACACTAATAATTTTTAATATTTGGTGTATAGTTGTTATCCATCAATCTTCAAACTAATTTCGTTTTCTGCAATATTTAGTTTGGTAAATTATTGGGATCTTGAAAATGTTCGAATTTGATTTTTCGTTATATTTCTGCCAGAAATTAAATTTTACTCAAGTTTAAGGAAAAATATATAGAACATATAACATATTCATTAAAAAAAAAATTAATTGACAAACATAAATCATGTCCAGGATTAAAACGGTGAAGGAAATCTATGAATTTAAAATATAATTACTAGTTCACCAGCCGAATTAAAGAAATCTTTAAATTAATAGTAGACATTTTATAAAAATTCTGAGCTTTATCCATAAGATTTACCAAGAAACATACCAACAAAATATTTAGTATTAGTAGATATATTTAAATAAATATTTCTCTTAAGAAACATTATAAGAACTTATGTGTAAGTGAAATATGTGAACAGTTAATCTAACAGTAAATGACAATAGAAAAACCGTGAGAGGTGTCTCCGGCTGTTTCCGATTTAAAGTTCATATTTAAGAGTAAACATTATTTCTCCTTTAGCTAATTATCAAATTCTTATACAATTACATCTATCCATTTTTATTGCCAGTTATGAATGTGAAATGATTAATTATTTTTTATATTTAATAAATCTGGTGCGCGCAACACACAATTTTCACAGAACTTTGAAACAACTTTTCACAATATCCCCAAAAAGTGTATATTTTTTTAGTTATTCGGAATTTAATTTTAACATCCCTCGTAACTTTTTTTCCAGCTTCTTTTCGTTGAAGTATGTCTCATAGATAAATTTAAAGGGTATCGAGAAAATGACTTTAGCGAAGTTTCATTGAAATCGGTACATCCGTTTAGGCGCTACAGTCTATAGCAACGCAGATTTTTCTGCATTTTTATTTTATTTTTTCCTTTAT